AAAGAACAACCACTCTACTTCTGGACAAGAAGAGCGTTAAGAGTCGCAGCCCAGTCATGTCAATGCTATAGGTGGAACTGGACAAGCCAACAGTCATAGGAGTTGCCCAAACCCCAGCAGTCGCTGTTCCACCAGCCCTAGAGGGGAAGGGTTAGGTACAGTGGCATTGCAGTGGATGTGGTTACGCTGCTGGCAGAAGAATTATGAATAAAAAGGAACAGAGTCGTGTCTATGCCTTGTACCTTCCATAGTCTTCAGTCCAGTTATAGAGACTTCTTGTAAGACGAATCCACTCTCCTGGGTCAAAGACAACTTCAGAAGGAACCAACTTTTCACAAGTACCCCATGGCCAAAGCAAATAGCTCTTTCTCCACGTTGAGTCCCCTTCATGAAGACCTATGCAGACAAACACTTCCTTACTGCCAAAAAACCAGAGAAAGCAAGCATGAAGCCATGCCACAGGCCTTGGGCAACACCACGTACTAGAGCAAGCTGTACACTTCACATCGGTGCAGTGGGACAGGTCTTAAGCAGCAAAACATTTTCTGTGGCAGATATCCACCCAGAGCTTTTCACCTCAGAAAGAGCACATCCCCAGGTCAGTCCACAACACAGCTCTCCCGCTCCTAGCGAAGATCCCAGCTGGCACTGCACATCTAGCGCAGCCCACGCAGGAGCCATTGTGAGAGGAGACGTCCTCTCCTCTGCGTCAGTCCATGCGAGCGTGCCCGAAGCACTGACCAGAAGCCCGTTTTTTTCCTGCCTGCACCTGGCAATGCTCTTCTGCTTACCAACACTCGCAAGGTTCTCCCTGGCTAGCCTAAATGCAGATGCTGTTCTTATTCATGCAAGTATCTAATCCTTTCTCCACTCCTACTAAGCTATTTTTATATGATGATTATTCCTGGAATACATTCATTCTATGCTAATAAGTTGGCCACAATGTTCACGAAGGAGAAGCAGCAGCAATTTGCTCTCACAGTCATTCTGAGTACATGGGAACATTCCTTTCTTTGTCATGAACAGTGTCAACAAAAGAAAAAAAAATCAGTAAATATTTGCTGCCAATCACCTTCTTAGCTTTCCTTCCTAAAAACCAAACCAACCTCCAAACAACAAGAAATATTATATCCGGATGGAGTTACTTCTGCAGAGATATTCACTTTAATTGCAAAAATAATCTCACCACTAGGGAGGAAGTCAGCGGAGAAAATTGGTCTTTTGGATGCAGTACCAAGCTGTTCCATAAACAATTTCAAGAAAAAAGGCTGAAGATTTTAGGAAGGCTGTTACATATGAAAGAAATGCTTACTGTTTATTTACTTTGAGGAAACGATGGAGATTAAAAGCAAGTGTCCCATCAGGTAATACTCCTTCCACAGGATTCCACCGGTTCCCAGGAAAATAAATGCCAGGTAAATGCTTTGCCAGCTTGGGTAAATACCACTCATAAGTCATCATCTATCACCAAAATATTAGCAAAATCAAAATAAGAAACAAAGTTTTCATCTATTTTACATCCAGAAGCATAGCAAACTGTTTCTGCACAAGTAACGAGTCTATTTTTTCATTAAGGGTCACCTCCCACTTTACCAACTGTCCAGGATCACACCGCCAGACCAGATTACTAGTGGTTTCTGACAAGAGGCACACAATCCTCCCCTTTGAGGGGGAAAAACTCTAAAGAAACATGGAGCACCTTCTGCTGATATAAGAGACACAATGAGGGTTTAGTTTCATTCAGCATGAGGATGTAGATTTTGGTTTTGCCAACAGGTCACAAACCCTCGTTGCAAAGTCCAAGCACTGACGTAGCAGTGAAAGGACAAGCTTCGGAGGGTCTGAATGGGGCTTCCACACCGTGCCCCATCTCCCAGGCTAGATTCTCCTCGCAGACCTAGGACTACCCATAACGATTTATAAACCAATTTTATCTCAGCATCGTGATTTTTATTTCAGCAAAGCCCCAAGGAGAGAAGGAAACAACTAAACTTTTGTTTCCTATTTTTAAATCTGTCTGTTACCTAATTCAATAGCACTTCTTGAACCTACCTCCTGGTCCACTAATGTGATATCTGGCCTCATCCCTTCGCAATAATGAATGTAACGAAGAGCATTCCCAGGTAAGTCTCCTCTTAGCAAGATCACTGCACCCATCGGCATCGAGGACAGCAGATTTCTTGCAAAGTTATCAATAACATGATTGCTGCTTTGATCACAAGCACTTAAGAGAATAGATGAAAAACAGAATCTCAAAAACAGATATTTGCATGGCTTTGAATTTCTTCAGAACAATTTTATGCAATAGGCATCCACAGGAAAATATAACAAGTCCTTTGCCCCGGTTAGATCTTGCTGAACAGTATTGTTGCCACTGCTGAGAAACCAAGATACAGAAATAAAGCATTTAGACTGAAGTCCCCCAGAAACCAGCAACAGAGACGTTATCCGCTAGTTCTGACAAAATATATGCTCACTGCACACCTTCATCTCACTTCTGATTTTTCTTGGGCTAAACCTATAGGCTTTTTAGTTGGAGCTGAAAGTGTCAGTATAATGCATTAAGAAAAACAAGTTTTTGTATGATCAGATAGAGCTAGATTTACATTACCTGAGATTAGACCCTTTTTGTTACACAGTCGTGTGTGTGTGCGTGCATGCGCACCAACGCCTGGGTTTTCCTTATGCACACACTCCAGGTGGCAGGTATGGACCCAAGAACAGGGCATTACGTGACTGGCTCAGGGCTCCTATGAACAGGCCTTTGTGAAAAGATGTGCATGAAGGAAGGATTCATGCCTTAGAAGGCTACGTGCTCTACACTTCACCCATTGGCAAACCTCTCTCTACCTGAGCACCCCTACTACTACACTGATTTCTATCCAAACCACTGGAGAGTCTTCAGCGTGGCTATGGGATAAGGAAGCCCTATGCTACAAATCTAGCTCCTCAAAAAGAAAAAAATAAAGAAAAAAAAACCCCAGGACACATGAAGCAAAGCAATGGAAAGAGAAGATGACCGTTCAGGTCAAATGAATTCTGTAAACCTTAGGAAATAAAGCATGGATTTATGGCTTTATTTCATGAAAGCCTTATTCATCTACATGGTTTTCTTCCTTTGACCTATAAGATACTCTCTTTTACAGCCTTGGTGATACTGGGGGAGACCCAACAAGGGAATGAAGCAGACTCCATTCCTGCAGGCTGTGGCCTCCCAAGCTTGGATGGGAGCCTTGACTTGTGGCATCAAGAGATCAGGGAAGACCAGTGCGGGTGGATCAGAGGGCTCTTCTTTCCATGGGTCAAAGAAAGGGTACCACTTAGATCCGCTTGCAGACATGATCTGAGGCCAGTGTGTCCCAGCTGAGGGAGTACAGCAGCCTGCCTCGGAGCCTGCCATCCTCCTCTCCAGAGCCCTCAGCTCCTTCGTTTCCTACAGGCTTTGCTGGTGAAAGAATGACCCCTCTCCTGCAGTCCCCAGCCCTGTGCCCCCAAACTGCCCTTTTCCTTTAGAGACAAAGGCAGAAACTCAAGAAGCAGGAGGAGGGGTTTAAAATAGCATCTGGACTGCACTTCACCCTGCAGACCCGGGAAGTCGCAGCACCGCGCGCTCCCAGGGTATCTGTTACCTGTAATTGGCACAGACTTGACAAGTAACAAGAGCGATAGCAGAAAGCCACTCCAGACACGGCAGCGCCCGGCTGTTCTCCAGCACGGTGTTTCCGACAGAGATAAGCCAGGCTAGTCCCAGACCCGCTAGCACAGCGACTGCTGCGTTGCTCTGCATCCAGAATCGTTCCACCTAAGAAACAATGTACACAGAGGATGTATCCAAGTGACAGGCATGACATTAATGTTTGTTTATTTAGGACATGGGTCCACATTTTCAGGACAGGATGGTCTCCGGGCTGAAAAGCTCACAGTTTAAGGGCAGGCAGAGATTAAAGAAGGGGAACAGACAGGGGATGTTTTTTAATCACTTTTTAATCACAAATCACATTTCCAAATTTGCAGAGACCGTATTTCTGTTTCCCCAGCTATAAGGAAACAGAATATGTGGCTGTATTTTTGCCCCTTAGGTAGCACCAAGACGACCACCTGCTCATGTTTATCAGGGGCAACAGCCAACTAAGCCAACTAAGCAAAAAAGAGGCTTCTTCCAAAAATTAACACCCCAGAGCAATTTTTGGAATGAAACTCACCACACCCAGAAACAGAGGTTTTGTAATATCCAAATTTGCCCTCCAAGCAAAGAACAGTGAATAAACACAGAGCATTCCAGTGAAGAGCCAAATCACGGGCAATTTCTGCTGCGTTGTCCTGTAAAAAAACAACATAATGTTCCAGTGGCATGACTAAAAAGGAGACAAAAGTTATATGCACTTGAAAAGAACTACCTCCCCATGTACCTCAGCACATTTAATACTAGGAATTAGACTAGATCCATTTTGGCATACGGCAGAGAAAGCACCTCAAAAGATCACCATTTAATCAGTACGGAAGTGCACATCGGAGCAAATATTCTCCTTCAACTTACGGCAGGGCTGCACTTAAACAGGCCACGAGCGCCAGGGTGAGGACAGCAAGGGAGAGCTCAGACTTCATCTGCGTCAGCTGGAAACTGTGGAGAAATTAATGCATGTCTGCTTCATCCCCAAATCACCCTGGCACCAAATTGAAGTGTCAGGAGAAGCAGGGTACAAGCACAACATAACATATTCCATTCTGCTGTGATTAAGTCTACTGGAAATGGGAAGAAACCTATTTTTTACTTCAAAATTTTAAATCAAAGATCACTGGGGAGAGGGAAACCAGCATTCTGACTTCAACGGAGACGTCAGCTGGACATGGGCACGGTGTCCAAGTGCCAGACATGCACGGCCCCATGCCTCCCTCATCTCAGGCAGCTGGCTCTGAGAAAAGTCAAGTTGACAACAGGAAAGGAGCTACCTTGACAAAAGCGATAGGGTTAGTGACAGTGCACTAAAAGGTGCAATCAAGATTTTACTCACACCAATATCTCTCTCATACTGGATCCTGTCTCTGATTTGGCCTAGATTAAAAAGAAAGAAAAACAATAAGAAACCCATACACTGACTGATGTATCACTGGGGAAAGTCTTTTCCTTTTGTTTGTAGAGCCTCAGACACAAGGGGCTCCTTCACAAACCCTCCAGGTGGTACCACAAGGTTGTCACGGGGAACAGTTATTGCTTTAAAAAAGAAAAAAAAAGCCAGCAAACTCTGCTACACCTCCATCGCAAGATGTTCTTCTAGGTTCTTGTCTTCAGTCATGAAAGTGTGCAGGGTTTACTGAACATATTAAGAATATCTTATTTCAAGTACTACAGAGCTATTTCCCTCTAACCCAAACGCACTGTATAGTTTAACTGTGATCTCTGCTTTATTGGCATGGTATTGTCTGGGACTTCTCCCAGCAGCCTGAGACAAGCACGCGATCCTCAATTCCAGCTTGCTTACCAGACTTGCCTATGCCCCCTCTGCCCTCCCAGAGCCAGAGCTGCACGGACGCAAGTAGTTTTCCATTGCAGAGACAGGAAGTCCACAGCACAACAAGACACGCTCAGTGGAGGTGAGGCCCTAGCTTTGCAGGGGCTTGGTGGAAAAGCCATGGCTACCAGAGAAAAGATACATGGTAAGATGATCCAGGAGGTCTGGAAGGAATCTCAGTAAAAATAAAATTTTTAATTATAAAGGAGGGAAAGCCAGCTCACAGGTCACTATGCACCACCCTAGCCCAAGCCTCTTGCTTTCCTTCTTGCAGGTTTTTATTTCTTGCACAAGCTCCATCCTGCTGGCACCTGAGGGCAGCTGTGGCAGCTTCTGGCTCCAGACGTGTCCCTTGCAAGAAAAGGGGTTGCTGATCCTCAGTCTCTAGATCAACGCTTCTGCAGTTTGGCCCCTAAAGCCAGAAATGCAGCGCTATGCAGTCTCTGTGCTTCCACCAGGAAATGGGCGGGCTCTGCAAGGATCTCAGGAGAGAAGCGCCCTCCACTCTTCTCTCTGGTTTTCTGACCTGTACTTAAAATTGAGCCTTCTCTGGGATGCAAGGGCTGTCTGTCAATCAAGGCAAGGCTCTGGCATTAGCTCAACTGGAATTGGGACCAAACATTTGCATTTTGCTGCATTTATTGCTACCACTTCACACAGGCTCTGCTCCAGAGGATCCCTCTTGGAGTATGGAAGTAAATATGATTTGTGGTGCAGAGTTACACATAGTTCATCTACAAGCGTCTTGAACATCAGCTTGAATTCACCGCATATGATGGAGGAAAGTGTTAAGGGATTTGCATGCCTTGGTATTGCTCTGCCCAATGGAGTCTAATTCTTAGAAGACAGCTGGGAATAGGACAACAGGGGAAACCTCAGAAGTCCTTCAGAGGGTGGATCTTCTCTCTCTAGGAGTTTCGGAAAGATTAAGTGCCAGCAGCAAGAATTATCAAATCTTTTGCCTCAGATACTACAGCCACACACTTACAGCTCTCAGAGGAGGCTGTAAGAACATCCGTTGAAATGCCAATCGTGCTTGCTGCGTAGCAAAGGCTGGATGCAGCTGCTGCACGCACAAGACTTAATTTCCATGGATGTGGAGGCCAATGACCCAGACGAATGAGATGATATGTAAAACATACCCTTTTTGGTTTCTTTTTTTTTTTTTGTCCTGATGGTGCAATTTCCCACCCCTTTCCACCAAATTCTCTGAAGCAGGATGGAAAGAAGGGCCTTGGGTGGCTGGAAGCCAAAAATCTACATTAGGGCCGGAGAAGACAGATGCAAACCCTATGCTCAGCAAACAGCCACATAACACCTCCCTCCATTTGCAAGAGCACAGACTAGTCAGAATAATTCAGATCAGAGGATTCAGAGACCCCAAAACCTACCACTCATTTCAATAAAATATCACCAAGGAGTTAGAGAAATCTCTTTTTAAGGTAAGACAATAATAACTGCTTGTGATCTTTTAAAATAGCTGAACTTAATATAAAAGGACAATCATTTATCTTAAAAAGAGAACAATATGAAATGGATGTTATCACCTCTCTCTAGCACAGCTTGCTCTTTGGGCTATTATGAATACGAAATACCTGTGTAGTTCCCAATAAATACTACAGCTCACCCCATAAAGGTAAAGAGAATGATTTTTGTGGTTTACCAGCCATCTGATCCACTGCCAGAAAACCTGACCGATCGATAGGTCAAAAACAGAAATGCTAAAGAAGCAAAGTTTTCAGTTTCTTCCCCTACAAGCTGTTAAATGCCATGGTTAGAAAGGTTCTGCTACAGCATAACTTCAGAAGAAAGCCTGTTAGAAAATGACCCTTATTTACCAGATTGAACGTCCCATATTCTTCCCTGAGAAAGTGGGTCAAAAATCCTTGAAAAGTCGTCTGGTCTCCCCACGTCCAACGGGCTCGGTTGAGGTAGGACGAAGCCGGCAGATAGAGATAAGGCAGCAAACCAGCCAAGAAGCATAAACCCAACTTCAGCAAATGGCCTAGGGACAATTCCTGCACCAAAATATGTCATATTGCATAACAATGTTTATTTTAGTTTAATCACACTGGAACTTCAAGAACAGATAAAGAAAAAACATCAAATATATTTACACAGAGCTGATCTCTCAATTTATAGTAAGTCCCTACAAAATGCTATGTTAAACCTTATGATTTTGTGGATTACCAGGAAACTGCATCAAACTGATCTCCTTTGCATGGCAGGGTGAAATTTAAGTGAAGCAAATAATATTAGCTAGGACTCATGAGTATCATACTCATTGCATCTTTCACATTTAAATCATGGCATGACATGCATAGATGGCTGAAGCACTGCAAGGCTGAGATAACCCACTTTGCAGTGATTAAGAGTTGGCTGGTATTCCATCTGGCAAAAAAAAAAATGCTGCTCTAGTACAACTACACACATCATCACCATCATCAGGAGTCAGTTTAGCCATTTACTTTATCATGATGGTTAAATGGCTAAATTGGATAGGCCAACTTTTGGGGTGGGATTTTCAAGACTGCCTAAGGGGTCAGGAAGACAAGACTTTCAAAGGGACTTCTGTGCCTAACTCCTTTAAGTGCTTTGGAAAATCCCACCCTAGAATACTGCACGCTTGCTTTATCATTAGCCACTGTCCTGTCAATCAAAGTACTTCCTTTAGTGTTTGGGGTTATGTGGAAGAGACACCATTCAAAGTGACAATCTACAAAGCAGAAAAAGTAGCTTGATAAAGTTGGCTGAAATTCCTTCAGGAAGAAGACTGGCTTCTTTTTACTGAAAGGCACCACATTCAATCAAATATCTGTCATATTAGATGGCTTTCTGCAGCAGGCACTACTGGCCTATCTGAAGTGTTTCCCAGGAATGTTATACAGGCACAGCACTCTTCTGCTGCAGCTCACAGCTCTCTGGGCCTCTCCCGTTGAAAAAAGGCTCAGTTTAAAGAACACAAATACACTGCAGAGCGAGTCACCATGTTGTCACATGAAATACATAGTCAAAAGGGGTTTTGCTGACCAGAAGATTTTGGATCAAGCTTGTCTGAGCTGCATCCTATCTCTTGCAGCTCATGCACTTCACCTTGGGCTCAGTTGTATAACCTGCACTGTTGCCCAGAGGCATGGTTGATTTATCAGGTTAAGGGTGGAGAAATACAGGCAGAACTGATCCAGCAGAGGTCTGAACTGCTCTCACCTTCAGGGAGCAAAAGAGAGAGAGAGGAAAGGTGGAGGTTTCTCAGGGCCACTCGTAAAGTCATCAGAGTGTCTGCGACTTGGAGGTAAGCAGCCATTTGCAGGACAAACTAGAGTTCCTACAGCACATCTGCAGCCAGCGGGACACAGGGACTTTCAGCAGGTCACCCCGGCAGACAAGGGCATTGTAGGACCCCTGAACGGGACTTTGGAGCCTAATCCAGACAGAAGCACAGCACCTTAGTGAGTCAGATATGCCAAGAGGCCGTTTTCACCTTGTTACCCAAGCTTAATAAAGAGGTCTAACAGGATCCCAGTAGTTCAGCATCAGCTGGACATCCTGAGAAGGGGCTCTCTGGCGGGAGATAAAAGGCTCCTTTACTGCTGTGCTGTTCATTCTGGCTGTGTCTTCGACTGTTGACATCCTGAGCAGGTGCACAGTGCTGTGCAGTAAGAGTCGGCGCTTTCGTGCACTACCACGAGGGAATCAACCTACAGAAACTCACCTTGACAGTCATGAGAAATCCCGCAGCGTAAGCTGGGGGAAGCAGAGCCCGATTGCTCGTGCCTGTAACTTCTCACCAGCACAGTCCCCTGCACATTCACTTATTTTCCAGTTTGTGGAAGGTCACTGAACATGCTCTTATTTCCTACACACTGAGCAGTTTTCAGTTCTGTCAGTCTCGGGACAGCATACTTGGTACGCTGTAAACAGCTGGGACCAGAGTCCCATGCCAGGATGAACGGACAGGTCGCAGACTGCTCAAATGAGTGACAGCTCCAAAGCCCCTCCACCATTATCCCCAGCTCTCACGTCAGCATGATAGACTGTAACTTCAGTGGATTATGACTGACCCAGTTAGATAGACCATTAACTGTCACTGTTCTTACATCAACATAAAAGTGATGCAAGCGCTTGGAAAGAAGAATTACTAACTGCTTTAAAATAAACTGTAAGAGGCATGAGTCAGCAGGAGTTAAAATACCTACCATCTTTCTGAAAAGCCGAAAGAGAACCCAAGGCACAACGCAAACAACATAAAGCACTATCGTGTGCTGATTGCACAAACTGAGCCCACAGCAAAAGGCACCAATTTTGGAGATCTGGAAGGAAGGGAAAAGAATTCACAATTAGAGTTTGCAAAGACATCCAGAGACCAAAACACCTTCAACACAGCCCACGGCACGCTTGCAGAAGGCAGGCAAATATACCACTGAGCACTAGCCAATTGCAATACAGACAACACCACTTATTTTAGATTATTTACAGAAAGATGGTATTTGTTTAACAGAAAACATATTTAAGAAATGTCAGGCTGAGTAGCTGAGTGGCTATTTCTCAATGTACATAGAGATTGTAAGTAGCATTATCATGCCGTAACGATGTAGTCCACAAATTCAAATTCACAGCTATTAGGGCTCAACCGATACAAGAGACTGCACAGGTCATGGGGAGCTGACCACTTTATCAACCTGCCATGCGCCGAACTGACTCCTAGTGTCTCCAGACTCCCCCATGTTAGACAACCTGCCGCCTTTTCTCCCAAACGCGAAATTTCCCCTAGAGCTGTCCTAGTCTGCTGTACTGCTGCCCACATCCTCCACGAGTGACAGGATCTAGCTCCTGAACCATGAGAACAGGAATTCAGTACTGCTGGGAAAGGAGACAGCCAAGCAGTCGCTCCAAATTTTTCAGAAATAATACCCCAAAATAATGCCACCATTATGTACAGAGACACCATTTTAAATAACAAACATGATTTTTTCCTCTTCCTCAGGCACTGAAGGCTAAAGTCAAGGCTACGCAAACTTCCCAGGCAAAGGGAATTAAATGCAACAGAGCTCACTAGTTTAAAAACTCCATTCAGAGCATCTCTAAAATAATTTTCTGATAAAACAGGTAGCGCACCCAGGCTATGCAGTGCTGCTGCAGAGTATTTCTGCTACCCATTCAGGATTATTCTCAGCTTCATTACTGGTAACATGGCCATCCCTGGCTGACACTAACAAAAGCCTCTTTCCACCCCTCGCTGCCATATGCTCTGCTCAGCCCCAGTCCTTCACCATCCACACCAAGGCTGAGTCCTCTTCATTCAGGTGGGCTAGCACCAGGCTACTACAAGAGCTAAACCATATACAAACCCTGGGTCTGGGCCACTTTCACCACCAGATACTGCCCCTCCCCTGAATTCCCTGCCTCCTCTATCACCAGCCATCTGGTCCATGCTACACCCTTGAGCCAGGCTCTGCCCATGCCCCAGGGTAGTCCCCCACTGGCAAAAAGCCATCAGAGTCTCACAGGGGTTGGTGGAAAAGAGCCAACAACCTGTCCTCACCTCCGCAGCCATCCCCTGGGAGCACGGGCATTTTTAACTCTTATTAGAGCATCCCCCTGCTTCCTTCAGTCATCGGCAAGGAAGGCATGAGAGATGTAAGCACCTGCCTTGGACTGCATGAAGGGATCATGCGGCAAATTTTAGTGATCAGCTGGTATTCAACATTGGATGCTGGTTTGCCACCAAAACATTCACCGAAATTTCAAGACTATACTTGTAGGCTTCAGACCTGCCCTGCGGGACTTGGGACAACCAGACAAATTTTTCAAGTGAATTCGTGAGCTCTAAGCACCCCCCAAAGATGTCTGCAAGAAGGCCTGATTTCTGACAAGTGTTGAGAACTCGCTCTCTGAAACCTAGCCTCTTCAACGTGTGAAAAGCAGGACACCCAAAAAGCTGAAACAAACTCATTAATTGCTTCTCAAAATCTCCTTTGAAAACCCCATCAGAGACTGGGCACATAAATCATGGAAGCAGCTTGAAAAATGCCCAACACCATCTTTGTGGAGTCCAGGTATTAGGGATCTTGGGACAGGACTGATCAGAAAATGAAAAAAAATCAAATAATAAAACAAGCCATCTATAGCCAACAATAAAATATGCTATTTGAGAAGTCACTCAGTTGAGTAAACTACCACTCTGGACTCCTGAAACTCTGCAGTAGCCCTACAAGAATTGTTTTATTCACACAATTCATAGAAGTCACAGCAGGCAAGTCTGCAAGAGAAGAGATTAGATGTTCAGGCAAACAGGAGTACAAAGAACACAATTAGTGAGTATCATAAAATCAAAATATCATGTGAATGCATGGTTCTTCTATAAGGTAGAGAAGATAGCAAGAAACTTAATGTCTCTGTATTTAATAATGCCATTATTTTAGGGACACCCTCAATTTCAAAAGAGCATGCATGGAACTGCAGAGAACTGATTGAAAATGTGGTCTTTTTGGTTTTTCAGTAGAGACTTGGGTTTCCAACTAGATGAAGATTTCCGTAAGATGCATCTGTTTAACCTCAGGAAATATATCAGTTCTTAAAACAAAAACTTGAACACCCACAGCTTGCTTTGAGTCTCTGATGCAGGAAACTAAACTTTACACCAAAACACTCAGATGAAAACGATTTTGGTTTCCCCTCTTTCCACTACGTGTGTGTGTGTGCGTGTGCGTGTGCGTGTGTGTGTGTAAAACAACAACAAAATCCCACCCAACAAGTCCCAACTCAGTTCTTAAACAGCACGGACAGATTTTTTAAAGGTTTAGCACTTTCAAAAACCCAGGTAGGCCAGGAATCAACACCACTGAGAAGAGGTGCTGAACACAGTCCCAAAACCTGGCCTTGCCTATTTAAACAAAGCTAAATCAATGCTAAGTGAATAAGACATTAAACAGATGCATGATAACCAACTGAAAGAAAATAAAGAACTATTCACTTCGCTTGAGATGTTTTACCTTTGATCTCTCTTTCGCAGTGGATGCCTCCTCAAAATGTGCGGTGAGAGCCATAAGCAGCCCCACAAACAGATTGTTTAAGCTAAAAACCTCTGCCGCGATGGACCACTGCCATGTTAGACGAGAAAATGAAAACACCCCCGCAGCAAGGATTCCTCCAGCATATGAGCCAGAAAGCCTGCAAACACAGATAACATGAAATCTTCTTTTCCAACAAAAAAGCCTACTTTATTGTCCTTTTTTTTTAAACATACTGTAGCAGCAGAAATTATGACTGCCACGCAGCACCCTTCCAAAACATTATATGGTTAATATCTTCTTAATAATTTCATTACACAAAATTACAATTAGGAAGCCATCCTGCGTGTCTGCAAGCCACTGAGCGCAGCCTCTCAAAACCAAATGGCCGGCGAGCCAGACACAAGCATTTTTTCTTTCAAGCATTATGAAAACTTCCAGTACTGAAGTCAGTTCAGAAACCCTGATGAGCAATGACACAGTGGGTCATGGTACACCAAGCCAGAGAGTCATGCTTTTAACGGGATACTCTCAGCTAGAGGAAATGTGAGCAACGGTGCAGCCTTAAATTCATCAAGGCACTGTATAAAGAGTGGATTAGAGCTATTCATGACGGACAGCATTAGGAGAGCTTTCCCAACAGGGAGGTTTTAGTTTCTTGGGGGTGGGTGAGGATTGGATCCCTGAGGACCCCAGAAGGCATACGTGCCTGCTGGAGCTAGGAGCAAGGCCAAAGGGAAGAGAAAACAGGGGGTCTGCTCCAGCGGAAGACACAGAGGAAGAGGCATGAAGCACCCAGCGCTTGGACGTCTGCAAGCTCCCCTGGCAAAGCCAGGCCCCGCTGCAGTAATCGCCGCCTTTGTGACTTCCAGACTGGATTACGGCGCACGCTCCCCACGGAGCTGCTTTCCCAACTTGGCTGGAGGCTGCAGCTGGTGCAGGGAGCCTACAAGGTGGGATTTAGCCCAAGAAACCTATTACACCAGGTCTTCAATAGCAGCTCTGGCTCCCTGGTTGTGTTAAGGGGCAGCCTAAGTTCTCTACTTTGAACTCTGTCGAAACTTGGTTGTTTGGGGGGCCTCTCCTTTGTGAAGTCACCCCAAAAAGATGCCACATAGGCTACCACAACTACCCCAATTGTGTCTTCCTCAAAGATACAAAACGTCATGGCTCCTGTCCAAAAATTCATCCAAGCTGTAAGACTAAACTAGGCTTTACCATGACCCAGGTATTTTCCTAGTCTGAGCTGCGATTTGCCCCTCTCCATTACACACATTTCCACTTAGACTTTGTATTTTCAAAAATAATTTGCGTTTCTAAGAAAGTTTAAAACAAAATTATTATAAGCTAACCAACCTGTTCATCAAGCTACCTGTGTAAGTTGCTCCTAAGTACCAACTATCTCCTCTACCACAATCAGAGCGAAGTCCCAGGGTTACTCAGCCTGGCTGAGTTTGCCCATCAGGTAATCAGAGCAGTGGGTATCCACCTAAGATTTGCTTATGGAGCTCTTCACAAGTCATAACACCCTATCTTTTTTTTCCCACTTCTCTGGAACAACCTAAGCTCCCTCAATCTCTCAAGCACACTGAAAAGTCAACATAACACAGCAGATGTTAGAGAAGGACCTGTGCAGTTAGAACTGGAATTTTTAGTCCCGTTAAAAAAATGAGAGGCAGCGTTCACGGGGAAGAAAGGATGGCATAAGGACCTGGGAAGATCAGGTCTCAGTTAGGACTAACAATTTTTGTTTTATCTCCTTTGTATCTCCTTTGTATTGTTTTATCCCCTTTGTGTTTTCAGATCTGCAGTAGCTGGAGAAGCAAGGCAGTTCATTGATACTGGACAAAAAGTAACCAACTATCGGACATCCAAGGCCAACACAAATCCAAGCAGATACTGTTTACTAACAGGAATGACACCCAAATGCAAAGTCTAAATGTTTCACAAAACTATTGCATTGAAGAACAATTACCAATCTCTCCTTCCATCTGGGATTTGTCAGAAAAGATCCAAAGATGGTTAAGGAAAATACTGCATCCAGGAAAGGACCTGAGAAAGCACAGCAGGACGTTGTTGTACACAAGGAGGACGCAAATAAACAAATTCTGCTTCCAGTAGTACTCAAGCAACTCCAATATCTTCCAGCCATGCAGCTGACTGAAGAACTATCCCCACTTATAGCCCAGTTCTCCAGAATTAGGCTCGACTTTGCTACAGTGCCTTTAGCCCTTAAGGCTAAACCCAGATGACAGCAGGGCAATGCTCCCCTTTCAAAGGGACAAAATGATGCTGACAATCACTATACGAGGAGCATCTTGGTCTCTGACAGGCAGCAATCTCCCATTCCCCAAACTCATAATCCAGTGGGAGCAAGTAACTGGGAACCACTTGGCCCCCAGAGATATTTCCCTCAATTTGAAAGTTCCCAGCCCTTTGCTCCTGATGTTTGTAAATAGCTCTGCTATGAGTTGGTGACACCAAGTCTAATCTGCCCAGGACACCTTAAGTGTAAAATAGGGTCATAAATAAAAACAGGCCTATAAGTGACTTTTTATTTGTAGAAGGAGCAGCAGATCAAAACGTTGTAGTGGGATCAGTCAGAAGTCCTGGTGACAGAGCAAGGAGATCTCAGGGTGACATAGTGCTTCAGCATCAAGACTGTAGGAAGAGATCAGGAAAATCAACAGGAGGGAAAAAGCTTGAAAAATCCCAAATGACAGCAGATGCAACAGTTTTAGGCCCACACTGTTTTAGATCAAAGCTGATCCTATAAAGAATCCTATAAGCTTTTGAAGAAAGGGGATAGAGAACCTTTTCCATTAAAAAAAAAAAAAAAAAAAAAAAAAAAAAAAAAAAAAAAAAAAAAAAAAAAAAAAAAAAAAAAGGACAAACTTTGAAGTATCTTCTGTTGCCAGCTAAAAAGCCTGGATGTGCTGGACTTGCCCGTTCCTGACCCTGCCACAGAGGACACTGCCACTCAGCCCTGTCACTCACACCTTTCTACACAATAATTGGATCATAGGATTATTTCCTCGTGGTGAACACTAACATGCCTATAAAATGAGCTGTTACATCCTTATCTAAGTCCACAGGGTAGCAAGGTCTCGTTTAAATGTGAAGCTCCCAGTCTGCAGTCATGGGCAGTAAGAAGCGCAGTGTGGATTCCCTGTTAGTCCCTTTCTGCCCCTCTGATTCAAGCCTGCTCTAGCCACCACGGCTGCAAGACCAACATGGGGTTCGTGAACCGACATTTGCCATACAAATTCACCTACGCTGAAGATGAGTTGTGCTTTCTGCAGCGTCCAGGCAGCTTTGAGGCTTAATCTGATGGCACTGGGTGACTCCAACACAGCCCTGCTGATTTGATTCATACTGGTATATCGGTCTGCCCTATCAGAACTGGAAAAGGAGTCTAAGAAATTTAGTCATTGAAGTGACTATTAACATGTCCCTGGTCCTTCAGAAATTCCTCATATCTCCCTTCTGCTCACTCATGTTTCACCACTACAGTTAAAACTTTTAATTATTTAAAAAAAAATAATTTAAATCCCTTTGGAACTCTTGCAGGGAAATAAAGGAGAGAAGGTAACACAACCTTCCCAAACATTTTTGGATGAAAAATAGCGCTTGAGACAAACCTCCCAATCATTTACCAATCCCTTCTTGTCTTTCCCAGAAAAGTCTCTGGTGTATTATCACTATTCAAATGAGATTAAAGAACTCCTTTCTTCTTGACAAAAAGTCTCAAACCAGTGATTCAAGTTTTATGAAATAAGTAAGGCTGAAACAAAAGCTGCTAAACCCAAAGCTTAAAGATTTATCGTAACTACGTGGGGCAGGGGACCTCTCTGCTCGTCATACAGCCCGCAAGCAGTGCAAGGTGAGGGTCCACAACCACATAGCTGTAGCTGTTTTTGTACAAAGAGTACATTATCTTTTGTCTCCCGCTTGGAAGCTCACAGTTGCAGATCTGGAACAGACTCCATATTCATGACCAGAACCAAGCCATGACACGCTTCACTGTCTAAGTAAGCCCAACTCTTACTTCAGTTCATAGCTGGCTAGGAAAGCATGGTGTCAGAGACCTCAGCAGAGACCCCTTGTCTGTGCTGAAGGAAGCAAAGTAGCTCACCTTGCCTGAGAAAAGTCACCACTACTTTGAATAAGTGGGAATGAGGCAGGTCCTCCAGGAACTCTATCAGAAGCAAGCGTGGCTCAGTCCTGATTATTCTTTTTTGTCTTCACAAATCTTATCACAAAGTGAAACTGCTGGAAAAGCTAGGCTACTAAGCTTACCTCATGAACATATTGTGTGCATGCAGTGCTAAATTCCTACGAGTAGAGTGGATACTGAAAATTAAACTGAAATGTGTTTCATTCTTAAAGAACATCAAGATAGCAGCTTTGGGAAAAGGAGCTGGACACCAAGATGAAAACTTAGAGGTTTTTTTTACAGATTCTGTTACCAGCAGCGAAAATGATGGGCTTAAAAGTTTACTGACTCAGAAGGAAACACTCTGGCAAGTGGAGGTGATGAGAACAGGTATCCTCAGATGAGGATACGACCTACCTGTCAGAAAAAACATCAGGCAGGTCTACACAATGCAACAACCGGTGGTGCAAAGTAGCACCAGAAGGTACAACAGAAATGAATGCAATATAGCTATGTTAGCATAATGCTGGGTCCAAATTAAACCAGACCTGCTGAGAGACTGGGCTAATGTGGTTACACTGCTCATTTTGATTCAAAAGAGGATCTTCACATACCACTGCACTTTGCAACCTGACAGCCCTTTGGGCTTCTCTAAAACAGTGTGGCACTGCATTGTGTCACCGCTGCCTTAGTGCCAAGCGGCTGCTCACCCCCATAAAACCAGAGAGTGTCCGAGGAGGCGACAAAGCAACGCAGGCAGAGACAACACAGATCAGCCACGGACAACATTCTGGACTAAAGAACAATTTTAAAGTGGAAAAGATACTTGCAGGCATTCACTCACACAAGGCAGAAAGACCTGAAAGAATGGGAGAGGCACAAAGACGAGAACAGAACAGAGAGTGAAAGAATTGAAAGACAGAAGAGAAAGGGCAGAGATCTGAACATGACGACAAGAAGCTTGAAACTGGTAGAGAAAGACAGGACAAAAAGATCTGCAAAGC